TCTAAATGATATGTTTATAAATAATGATTTGTAATTGTCTATTGTAAAGCTTTTTATAACTTAAAATCAGTCTACAATCATAATTATTAATTTAAGTATCATTGATTTTCATGTAATTCCATTTCATTTCTTGCCAGGTTGATCAGTACTTTAATGCTAAGGATCATCTCCTTAAAGCACTGTAAAACCATTAGCAGTCAGTAATCATATTTCTATTATAGATTATAAACTACATTAAATTCCAAGACCAAAGATTAATTGTACAAAAAATAGATTTTTCAGTTTTACATAAGGGGTGCCTGGCTGGCTCAGCTAGTGGAGCATGCAACTCTTGATCTTGGGATCGTGCGTTCAAGCCCCACGTTGGGCATAGAGTTTACTTAAAAAAAAAGTTTTACATAAGTTTTAAATAAGATTACAAGAATTTTATGAAGTGATTAGTTTTTTTGGTTTTATGGGGGGTTTTGGAAGTGGCTTTGGGCTCTTGCATATTGAAAAAGTGTACTTTCTTGCTAGGAGTTCGTTTAATCTGTTTTGAAGTTGATAAAGCAGGAAAGCACATTTGCCCTTGCTAGTTTGTGAATAAAGATATAACAAAATTACCCAGTATTCACGTCTGTTAAAGGACCGTTATCCAAAATATACAAAGAACTCTCAAATAAGCTTAACAGTAAGAAAACAAACAACGTGATTAAAAAATGGACCAGAGACCCTAACAGATACCTCACAAAGAAAGATGGCAAGCAAGCATATGAAAAGATGCTCTGCATCATTTGTCATCAGAGAAATACAAATGAAAACACACCTATTAGAATGGCCAAAATTCAGGACAATGACAATGCAGAGAAGTAGAAACTCCCATTCATTGCTGGTGAGAGTGCAATAGCCTACAGCCACTTTGGAAAACAGTTTGGTGGTTTCTTAGAAAACTGAACATAGCCTTTTCACACCATCCGGCATTCATGTTCCTTGGTATTTACCCAAAGGAGTTGAAAACTTCTGTCCACACAAAACCTGGACACAGATGTTGATAGCAGCTTTATTCATAATTGCCAAAACTTGGAAGCAGCCAAGATATCCTTCAGTAGGTGAACGGATAGGTAAAGTTGGTCCTCTAGACAACAGTATATTACTGAGCACTAAAAAGAAATGCACTATCAAGCTGTGAAAAGACAGGGAGGAACCTTAAATATATGTTACTGAGTGAAAGAAGCCACTCTGAAAATGTGACCCCTACCGTATGATTCCAACTACATGACATCTGGAAAAGGCCAAAAAGGAGAAAGCTAAAAGATCAGTAGCTGCTAGGCATCAGGGGATGTGGGGAGGAATGAGTAGGTAGAATACAGAGGATTTTTAGGGCAGTGAAAATACCCAGTATGATACTATACTAGTGGGATACATGTCATATATACATTTGTCTACATCCATAGAATGTACACCACCAAGAGTGAACCCTAGTGTAAACTGAACTCCGGGTGATAATGTTGGGTCAGTATAGGTTCATCAGTTTGCAACAAATGTACCACTTTGTTGAGAGATGGCCATGCATGAAGGGAGGAAATGGGGTATACGGGAAATCTCTGTAACTTTCAGTTTTGCTGTGGACCTAAAACTTCTCATAAAAAAATTATCTTTTAACGAGTGTATGGTCCTGTGCCAATAGAACTTGTTTTCTGTGTATTTCACTCATAGAAGAAGAGGTCCTCACATAGGAAACCCAGAGGTAGTGGATGGACCTGAGGGTCGGAGAGAAAGCTTCATGGGCTGGACTTTGGACAGTTCTGAGAGATGAAAATAGAAAATGGACTTTTCCACCTATAGGTATCCTTATCACATAGAGGGAATTTTTTTTAGCCAACTACCTTTTGGTCAACAGTCTTGGAAATGGCTTTGGTTCTGCATTATTCAAGTGTACACTACCTTGGTAGTGTAGGTGGAGGCAACTAGAAAGGAAGAATCCCCTTAGTGTGGTGAATGAAAAGCAAGCAATTATATACAACATCAATTATTGAGGATTAGATTTCTTTCTAAGCTCTCTGTGGAAGATGTTGAGAGTCTGCTTGTAAAATAAGTGTTCTGGGGTTATATAAATAAGAGAAAGTAAAGCAGGTTTTTTTTAAAAAAGTGTGTGTATTTGAATTTTTGAAATGCTAATTGCATTGTACATGGAGTATGGGAAGGTATGAAATACAGTATTTCCCAAATTAGTTTGATGATCGAACTCTTATCTATATTCCAACATCCAGGAGCATGTTATAAGTAGCACAGTTCATAAAATTCTACTCTAGATCAGTGGACAGTCCAGTCAGAAGGAATTGCTTACTGATATGAAAGGAAAGAACTTCTGCTCTTTGTGTTGTGTATGTATTTAAATAGTAAAGCATTTCTCAGATCCTCAGATTTAATAAATTAGATACAAATTAGTTCATCTTCTGTGACTTCACAAGCATGAACTTTACATAGATTTAATAAACCAAGGAGCCGTCTTTTGGTTTTGCTTTGACTAAAATACCTTGTTCAAAATCTGTAATTAAATGTATAAAACACTGCTCTCAATAGAACTTTCTGCAGCTATGGAAATGTTCCACATCTGTGCTGTCTTGTATAGCAGCCAGTAGCCACTAGCCACATGTGGTTATTGAGCATTTGAAATGTGCTAGTGCTACTGAGGAGCTGAATTTTTAGTTTTATTTCTTTTTCATTAATTTAAATTTAAACTGTTGCATGTGGCTAGTAGCTGTTATATTGGACAACGTAGTCTATAGAATATATTTGCAGACTAGAGCATTTTTCATACTATTTATTTTAAACTGGTGTGATTAAAATGAAATTACTTTTTGGGGAGTTTTTTTTTGAAAAGTTTATAGTATGATGATTATATTTAAACAATTTATATGCATGTAATTCTGCAGCCACATGACTGAGAAGTCTTCTAATGGTTTTGCACTCTTAAAAAACTATTTTACTAGCTAGATGTCAGGAACATAAATGTTCCTTTGTAGTTAGTTTTTATTTCTTGTGTATAAATAACACTATACTCTGAAATAATCAAATAGGTTTTCACATTCAGTTTTAAGAAAAGAATGATAATATGAAGAAAAAATCTGTGAGATAAGAGACCTCAGATGTAGTTTCATTTGCCATTGGCATATTTAGTAATATTAAGACAATTGTGAAAGTTTTGTGGCTATTAATTTATCTCTAAGTTGGAGATATAGTTTATGTAAATGTCTTTTGAAAAAGAGTTGTACAAAATGAAAGTAATTCCTGTTATAAATGTAATTGTTAAATAATTATGGAACACACCAGAAATTTCACTCATTTTCTGTAAATGTACTTTTGAGTTTTAAACCTTGTGATCCTTAATCATTTGATTTTGACAAGAGTAATGCTTACACTTGGTAGAAAAGTAAAAGTAACAAGGCATATAAATTCTCAAAACTTTGACGAAGATAAACTGTCATAACTGAATAACTTTAGAATAGTTGATTATTAAAGATATGACTACTTGGTAGGGGGGTGCTAAATTTTTTCAGTGAAGTTTGACTTATCTAGGCCTGAACTTAGGAAATTTTAATAACTTAGTTCTTTGCAAACAGCTTATTTGATATAGTGATACCTTTTATCCTTGAACTTGTCAACTGAATAAGCTGTTTTGCTCTGTTATCACTAAATAGCTTCACTTTGGTATTTGAACTGGTTAACCAGTTTATTTGTGTTTTTATTCAACTATCATTTAACTGTTGGTTTTATTTTGGGATATTATTATTTTTAAGAGGTGGTAATTATTCAAAAAGTTGTTTGCAAGCATTTGAATCCTATAAAGTAGAACTGATGGCTTCTTCATAAGAAGCCATATAGCGTCAACCTCAACATAAAGATTGATTTTTTTCAGTATGCAATAAGTCATTTTTAAAGCTATATATATTTATTGTGCTAATCATTATCCTTTGTCTGTCTTTAGTGATTTTTACTTTCCCTAATTTGCATTACACTGTTTTCTCATATCTTAAGGATGATATTTTAAGCAACTACTAAATAGTCTTGCTTATTTGATTTAGTGTTTTGTGTTACGTTTGGGTCTATATAGTGTCTGTTACTGGTTAAATTATTGAAAATGAGGTTTTAGGTAAAAACAATTCTCTTTTCTGACATGTAGCTCAAGTTCTTTTTTAAAAAAGATGTATTGCTTCAGATTATAGTAAGTTTATTTAGCTTAATGTTTTTCTTTTTCATTATTATAATTTTATGTTTTCATTTAAAGATGCTGGATGTTGGGGTGCCTGGGTAGCCCAGTCATTAAGCATCTGCCTTCGGTTCAGGTCATGATCCCAGGGTCCTGGGATCGAGCCCCGCATTGGGCTCCCTGCTCGGCGGAGAGCCTGCTTCTCCCTCTCCCACTCCCCCTGCTTGTGTTCCCTCTCTTGCTGTCTCTCTGTCAAATAAAAAAAAAATTTCTTTTAAATAAATAAATAAAGATGCTGGATATTTTTCAATACTATTGCTAACACCCTTTCCTGAGTATAGGAAGAATAGTACAATCAACCCTTTATCTAGCTAGATATTTGACATGTAGGTCATCTGTGATCCCACTGCTTCTGAGCTAGTTCTGTTAATCTCATTTCCATCTATTTTACTTAGTAGAAATGCCATTTTATATTTAGTTTGGCAGTCTCTTTAAAAGCACCAATATGGGTATCTTCACAATTCTCTTTTATTTGATAACTTTGTTATTAATGTTAATGTCAAAAAACAAATGTTTGAATAACATTACTCAGAGATGTTGTAGATTGATCATACCTAATTCAGAATATGACAGAATGTTTTAAAAATTTCATGGGTCATGAAAATCTTAGCATTTAAGGGATTTTAGTATTTAGTATAACCCCTTAACTGGTATGTGCTAAGATTTTGAAATATCTTTTAGTTGCTGTGAGATTAAGAAGTAGAGACAAAGTTCCTTATTTTATTATTTTTATTACTTTTTGTAATTAAAGACACCCAGCTGTTGGGCAGAAGAGGGAGCAGAAAAGAGGTCACATCAGCGTTCTGCATCATGGGGGAGTGCTGATCAACTAAAAGAGGTAAGTTATTTCTGTTTTCAACCTGTAACCTGTTTTAATCCTAGCAAATTATCTTACTGTTTCATGAATATAATATTTTCTTTATTTGTGCTAACCTTACCTCTTTCAGAGTTTAAGCATTGCCTTCCAGGTTTGGGTGAACAAGTCTGAGTTTACTTTATTTGTGCCCTTCTTATCATTTATAAATATTTGTTATGCACTCATTCAGCTTGAGCCTTTCCAGAGTGAAGTCTGGTTTTATGTAACAGTCTCTATATCTTGTTTCTTTTAGCCATCTTCTGTTCCCACTTCAGCTCTCTTGTTTCTGAAAAGTTTTTTCTGCTTCTCATAGCTTTTTTGTAATATCCAACATGTTGTTGCCCTTTGAGACCCAGTAGTGCAGTAGAATCCATGTCTTTTAGGAATAGTTTTTATGACTCTTTCCTTTATTATCAAAACCTAAATTATGATCATCTTTATGTATACTTTGGATTCTTTTCCATGATAGTGTTATTTTTATCCATATTAAATTCTTATATAATTGTTTTTATAAAATTACAGAAACTTAGAGTTGAAAGGTCATCTAGTTCATCTCCTAAATAAATACTCCTTAAAAATGTGGTCATCTAGTCTATTATGATCATTCTCAGAGAAGTTCATCACTTTGCAAAAGAACCAAATGAGTTCAATTGTTTTAGGTTAAGTTGTCAGTTTGTTTTGTGCATTGAACTCAAAATTATACCCCTAAGTTTGATTCTACCTTTTGTATCAATTAGGTAAGTCTGCTTTAAATATTTGAAAGGCTAGCAACATGTGTCATTTTTTTTCAGGCTAAAGATTGACATTTCTCTCATATTTTTCATATGTCATCTTAGCGTTACTTTCATATACTGTAGGTTATCAGTATCTCATACACTGTGGTGTCTAGACTGAATAGATATAGTCTGTTAGCATGATTTTGTCTGTGACTGTAATACATTTTTAGTAGCTTCTTTATTTTATTGATGTAGAGAAATCCTCAACTTTTCTATATACCCTGTACACAAGCACATATGCACAAAATGAGTTTTTCCCAGAAGCAACAAAAAAGAAAGGAGGGTGAGTCTAATATGTCTAGTCTAAAATAGTTGCACATCTGTGCATGGAATATGAATAACAAAAAAATGAACTTGCAGTTTTATCTCTGAGGTAAATACAATCTCGAAGTTATAGCCAAGATTTGGCATAGTTAAATTTTGGACTACAGCAACACGTGATATACACTATTAAAAAAGGAATGTCTGAGCTAACTGAGATATTTGCTCACTGTCCCCACAGAGCAAACACAAAGCTGGACAAAACTATCAAAACAACTAATTTAGTGCTCTGGAAATCAAACAAATTGAGAAACTTTATTCATGAAAAGCACTGAACTCAGGGTATAAGAACAACACAGATTTGTGGTGGTATCTGGTGCTACTCCTCATCCCCAGCTTTGTTGGTGTGGCATTTCAATCAGGATGGGGCAAGCCTTGAAAACTGGAAGCTGTGTAGCCCTAGCTGGAGAGAGAGCACTTGATAGGAAGTGTTGTAGATTAAAATAGTGTAACCTTAGTTGCAGACAAACGGAGGACCAGTGGCTTCTCTAGTCTAAGGTATAGTCCAATTTGTAGCAAGTAACAGACTCATGAAGTAGCAGGATTTTATAGAGAGCTCTAGGAGATAAGATAGTCATGGGGGATTGATAAGTTCACGACATATCCCAGGTTGACCGGAGGCTGTAGATATGCACAGCAGAAAATGGAGTGGGCTTAAGCCACCCCTGCATCACTGGTCAGTGATACCTAGGAAATATATGGAGAGGAGATTCAAGCAAGCCTAGTGGTAATAAAATCTGGGGCCATCTTGTGAAAGGCTCAGACTTTGAATGCACTCCTCATTCTACACATAAATCCCATCCTGGGAGTGGAAGCCTTACTGGATTGAGATAATTGAACAAAATCTCTCATCAGTCTTTAGTCAGACACTAAGGTGAACGCTGGAGACCAGCTTGAAAAGATCTTAAAAAGCCAGCCTTAAAAAGAAAAATGGGGTTGGGGGAATGGAGTAGAGACATCAGTGGCCACACAGTGTAGGGAAAACAGACTTTTAGTTCATCAAGATACTATAAAACACAAACAGATAAGACAACAACCACCCTCAAGGAAAATCAGAATCTAGAGTTGCTATAATGTATTATTTAAAATGTCCAATATCCAACATAAAATTTAGAGATATGCAAAGAAATAAGAAAATATGACCCATACTTAAGAAAATCACTAGAAATTGTATCTAAGTGTCTCCATATGTTGAATTTAGCAGCCAAAACCATTAAAGCGATTATAAGTATGTTCAAAAAAACCAGAGAAAACCGTGTTTAAAGCATTAAAGGGAAGTAGGGTGACAGTGACTCAATGAATAAGGAATTTCCACAAAGAGATAATTATTATAAAAGAGAAACAAAAACTCTAGAGTTAAAAAGTATAGTAACTAAAAGTTCACTCAGTGGGCTCAATAGCAGATTTGACATGGCAAAAAAAGAATGAGTGAATTCGAATATAGGTCAATAGAATTTATACACCTTGAAGAATAGAGAGAAAAAGATGGAAAAACGTCCAAAGAACCTCAGAGGCCTGCGAGAAAACAGTAAATAGATACACATGCACACAATGAGAGAACTAGGGGAGGAGAGAGAGGAGTTAAAAGATATATGAAGAAACAATGGTAGAAGACTTTCCAGATTTAATGTAAAATAATCTATAGATTCAAACTCCGCAAACCCCAAACTGGAAAACACAAAGAGAACCCATATAGATACATCATAGTTAAACTGTTGAAAGCCAGAGGAAAAGAGAAAATCTTGAAAGCTGGAAGAAAAAAAATGTCTTATTAACACATAGGGAACTGAACTAATAATACCTGTAATGGGTGACTTCCCATCAGAAACAGTCGAGACCATAAAGCTTGACATAGTCAAAATGTTGAAAGAAAAAAAATGTCAACCAAGTATTCAGTATCCAGAAAAACTAGTCTTCAAATTAAAGGTGAATTATTTTCAGATAAACAAAGATTGACAGAATTTCCTGCTGCTAGATGGTCTTATAATAAATACCAAAGGAAATTCTTCAGGCTGAGAGGAAATGACTCCAGATGTTAATTCAAATCTGTAGGAAGAACTTAAGAGTGTTGAGTAGTTTAAATGTTTAGTTAAATATAAAAGAGTCTGTAGATATATTTTTCTCACTTTCCACATTTAAAATACATATAATCATATAAAGCAAGAATTATAATACTGTTATGTTGGGTTATGACATATAGACATGAAATATACAAATGGCAAAGTACAAAAGAGGGACAAAGAAATGGACAAGTACTAGAGTATAGTTTCTGTTTTACTGGAATTATATTGAAGTGTTGTGATAAATTTTCTTAAATTTTCTTTCTCTGGGCGCCTGGGTGGCTCAGATGGTTAAGCGACTGCCTTCGGCTCAGGTCATGATCCTGGAGTCCAGGGATCGAGTCCCACATCGGGCTCCCTGCTCAGCAGGGAGTCTGCTTCTCCCTCTGACCCTCTTCCCTCTCGTGCTTTCCATCTCTCATTCTCTCTCTCTCAAATAAATAAATAAAATCTTTAAAAATAAATAAATAAATTAAGATGCAAATTATAATCCCTAGAACAGTTGCTAAGAAACTAACCCTGAAAAAATAGAAAGTAAAAAATATAGAGGGATTAAAATGGTACACTAAAAGTATTTATAACAAAAGAAAGCAATAAAGGAGGAACAGAGGAATAAAAAAGGCGTGACACAAATAGAAAATAATTAACAAAATGGCAAAAGTAAATCCAACCATAATAATTACATTAAATATGAATGGACTGAACATTCTTCTCAAAAGGCAGAGATTGTCAAAACTGGATAAAAACAACACTCAGCTATATATTGTCTGTAAGAAGCATGCCTAATGATACAAAAGCTTAACTGACACAATAGACTTTAAGACAAGAAGTATTACTGAAGACAAAGGCATTTCATAATGATAAAAAGGTCAATACATCAGGAAGATATAATAATCACAAATTGTGTATACATCTAACAATCGTCCCCAAATGCATGAAGTGAAACTATGAAAGGAGAAATAAAGTTTCTACAATAATAATTGGAGCTTTCAATCCCCATTCTCAATACTTCATAGAACAACTAAGTAGACACAAAATAAGCAAGAAGATAGAAGATTTCAACAACATTATCAGTCCACTTGACCTGACATATATAGAAAATTCCACCCAGCGACTGCATTCTTTTCAAACATATGGGAAACATTCTCTAGGTTAGATAGACCGTATGCTTGGCCATAAAACAAATCTCAATAGAGTGCAAAAGATGAAATCATGTAACAGAAATCTTAGAAAGCCCCAAAATGTTGTCAACTAAAAACACAAGGGAAATTTTTAAATATTTATTGAAAACAAAAAACTTAGAATTTGTGTGTGCAGATAAAGCAGTGCTTCATGGAAGATTTATACCTTTAAATGTATATATAAGAAAATAGAAAACTCTTAAATCAGTCCTAAGCTTCCAGCTTAAGAAACTGGAAAAAGAAGAGCAAACCAGACCAAAAGCAAGCAGGGGAAGGAATTAATAAAGGATATAGCAGAAACCAAACAAACAGAAAAATGTTAGAGAAAAATCAGTGAAACTAGAAGTTGGTTCTTTGAAAAGATCAACAAAGTTGACAAAACTTTAGCTAGACTGACCAAAAAAAGAAGACACAGATTACCAAAATCAGCAGTGAAAGGGTGAAATTACTACCAACCTCACAGAATTTGAAAGTATTATAAAGGAATATTATGATCAGAGCACCTGGGTAGCTCAGTCGTTAAGCGTCTGCCTTCGGCTCAGGTCGTGATCCCAGGGTCCTGAGATTGAGCCCTGCATTGGGCTCCCTGTCTGTGGGAAGCCTACTTCTCCCTCTCCCACTCCCCCTGCTTGTGTTCCCTCTCT